ATATATATATATATATCCATATAATACAAGTAATATTTATAATGCCAGTTATTTGGTTATGGCCACAATACAGTCCTGATTAATTTGAACCAAAGAGATCTCCATCAAAATTAAATACAGCTGGCATGTCCTTGGTCTCAAATAATTCCACATTTGCTTGTTCAAGACTGAACTCTTGAAAAATCTCCTTATCCATTGCTCACAAACTGTTCAACGCGGTGAGCTGGAAGCCAAGTGCTACAAGTGACATAATATTTGCTGAGACATGTCCGAACTCGACGCTGCCTAACAAATAAACACATGAAGCGAGCGTGGAGGCGGAAGTGCGTTTGTGAACGCGAGTGTGTCAGCAAATGAGATGTTCAAGCATTGAGACGAAATCAGATGACTCCAGAATTGTGGTTCTGAAGTGGACTTTGGCTGCGCATGCAGAGCCACACCTTTCTATTCGAGGCACACGCAAACACAGACACACACGTTGGTATTGCGCAATCCTTTTCCGTCCGCTTGGCACTCACCGTGTTGTTTTCCACATCTTGCGTATCGTTGGCCATGTTGCGGCGTGCCGATACCGGTTCTCACAAGCGCGGCGATTCAGCGAATGCTGATGAAGTCGTCGGGGCCCTGATGGGAGACAAACAGGCGCGGGTTTGTGTCAACAGTGACCGGCGATGACACTTTCATTGATGATTAAACACTGAACGCGGTCAGTAAATGGTGGCAAGCATGAGGAAGTGACTGGAGGAAGTATTCGGGCCACGTCAAAATGGCTAAATCGTGATATTTCGAGGAGAACACAGTCACAGCGTGATAAGTAAACTTGCGCTAATTGTAAATCCACTCCCGTTTTTTTTCTCCAGCATATCACATTTTCATAATAATAATCATATCTATTAATAACATTTATAAATTATGAGTTTGGTTTGGAAACAGGTGAAATGTTTTTTCTGAAACGTCATACATACAAATAACGCGTGGTAAAAACACAATGTGGCGGTAGACATTTTTGGTGTCACAAATACATTCATGGACACGCTAAATTTAATCTGACTAAAATTTTCTGATGACCAGCGTAAGTGAAAGTGGACAGTTGCGTCTGTCCTTGACCACTTCTGGGAACATTACAAAGCGTTCAAGGGAGCGGTGGTAGGCTAATAAATTAGCCGTCGCTTAAAAACAAAAAAAGTTGTTGCTGTTTGACTTCCAGCTTCAGGAATATAGTATAGAAAATAAGTACAGAGCTTGAATACAAACTAAAACTGGAACAGGCACAAAGATGTTGCCCCAAAGCTAAAGGTTCAGTAAATGTAAATAACTATTTTGTCACAGGCGCCACGGTGATCAACTGGTTAGCACTTTCGCCTCGCAGTACAAAGGTCCAGGGTTCGATTCCAGCCTTTTCATGTGGAGTTTGCATATTTTCGCCGTGCCTGCGTAGGTTTTCTCCGGGTGTTACAGTTTCCTCCCACATTCCAAAACACATGCATGGTCGCTTAATTGAACATTCTAAAATGTACCTAAGTGTGATTGTGAGGGTGAGTGATTGTTTGTCTATGTGTGCCCTGCGATTGGCTGGCAACCAGTTCAGGGTGTATCCCGCTTACTCACCAAAGATAGCTGGGGTAGGCACCACCAGGTGACCCTGGTGAGGATAAACGGCTCGGATAATGGATGGATGGATATATTGAACACGTTTGGACGTCTGCAAGCATCTGCCATGTTATGTTATCGTTTAGCCGCGCCGCTTATGCCAGCTAGTTAGCAACAATGACATAGCGGCACAAGAAGGAGCCGCGACTGCCCTCGAACATTTACACATATAACGTCTTAGTGAGAATGTCGGTGGCCAGGAGGGCTCTTCAAATAATTCCAACTTACCGCCAACAAACGGCGAAGAACGAATCTGGCGTTGTTGACACACTGAGTGGGTTGATTGTGGGCTGTGTACCGGGGTACTTTCCCTTCTTTGTTCTTCCTGTTCTCTCAGCCTACTTCCGGAATGTGCTGTCGAAATCTGCCTCCCTCGCTTTTGGCTTCCGGGTTTCATTCTGCTTTCAAACGGATTCTTTTCTCATACATTTAAACAATTACAAAAAATAAAACATTTATTCAATACCAATATAACTGAGTAATAGTTCAAACCGTGGAAGATCTGAGGTCACTTCTTAGACTCAAGACTACTCCAAAAACAAAGACAAAGACATGCGGTGCATGTTTTCACATTTCAATCCAAATGCAGAAGAACCTAAATTAACCATGGTTCAAGGTAGAAACTTGATTTAAAAAATCGATAAAAACAAAATAAATTATTATTATTGTTATTATTATGTTTATTTATATCAATTGAAATTGTATCCATTTTACTGGCTAAATTGCATATTCACAGATGTCAATGCACTCTTAAAAAAACTATTTTGTGCATATTGAAAAAATGAAATCAAGCAATGTAATACGACCATCGGACAATCCCCAAATATGAAACCATATAAAACTGCAAATGTGTACCTATTGATTTTATTTTTTGTAAAATGCGCACAGATGTTTTAATAATCACTTGAAAACTGAGTTTAATTTCAGAACACATTTCCGAAATTTAATAATCCGAACTGTGTCAGCCTCGCCCCACCATGTAGTTCCGGTTCAGAGGTCAACTCGTCCAAGCAACAGCGAAGGAAACACAACGCCGATCGACAAAACCTTGACACAATCGACCCCAAACCACATTTCAAGCATGGTAGGTGCGGTCTTCACAAAAAGAGCTTTCGTTTCAAGTGGAACCTGCAAAAGTGTTACTCGAGACTTTATTATTTCAAATTTTGAATGAGTAAAATCGGCGCCTCTTGCTCGCTGTGGTCTAAAAGTTAGCATAAACACGGGAGACGTCGATTAATTCATCGCAAACGACTTTCCGTTTTGGAAAAATAGATAAGTAAATACATAATGTTCTTCACAGAAAGTCTTCTTATCACTTAAGTTGAGAATGTCCGACAAGTTATTTATTCCGTTTTGTACTTCAAGTAGGTGTCAACATGTATCATTCACCGAAATTAATAACCATCACGCGTCCATTTCTGAATGATGCAGCACTTCATCATCAAGCCACCGAGTTACACTTAGCAGAACATTATTACCACTGCAGCTCTGCTTACCTATTGGCTTTGACATGGTACTGCTTCGGCCGTTGCGACATCAAGTGTTTGACTGTGTATGAACACAGTTGGCTGCTCAACATTGATTAATTGCTGTCCAGTTGGCTGCTCAACATTGATTAATTGCTGTCCGTAGTCTCACACCATCCTGCTGGTGCAACCTACCAAGCGGTCAGAGGGAAGAACGTATGCCGACTACGAGTCTGTCAACGAGTGCATGGAAGGTAAAGTAACTGCCATTGTTGTACTTTGTAGAAAGAAGTTGCGGCCAAGTTTCTGTTATCGTTTCAGTTTGCTCCTGTTATATTTTGGTTCCGTGCAGTTTAACTGTTAATTGTCGTAAAAACACGTCTGTCTTGTACAAAAGGCGTGTGCAAGATGTATGAGGAGCATCTGAAGAGAATGAACCCCAACAGTCCGTCAATCACGTACGACATCAGCCAGCTCTTTGACTTCATCGACGACCTGGCAGATCTCAGCTGTTTGGTGTAAGTACGGCAGTCCCCTACACTTACTCAAGGGTCAAAATTCACAAGTTCGCTTATTTATGTTTTTGTTCTTTTTATTTATTTATTTATTTTTTGTACCTCTGTATTTGTGTCCGGGACCTATCTGACAGTTTACTGAAAAGTTACCTTTTTTCAGTTTTTTATGCTCTTTCTGAAATGCTCGAAAATGCCACAGAGATTGCACCAAAGCTTCTGGGAATGTTGGACATTGGAGTCAAGGAGCTATGTCTCGACTGAGTGACAAGCTTTGCATGTTGGGGAGGAGCCAAGTTTGGCCTGGGTTGCAAGTGGATGTTTGGAAAGTCTTTACCTCATGATCACTTGGTGCTTTTTTTTTTCCAAATCTAATTATCTCTAAGGGGAAGTTTCTTTCAAGGGGAAGTAATTTTGTTATAGGGAAAGTCAACATTTTAGGGCATTCAAGTCACAGATGGGTGAATAAGTCATTACAATAGCTAATTTTACATAAAAATCGTCAAACTTTTTAACCGTGGGAAAAAGTTTCAGTTTCCAGAAAATATAGTTGCAATTTTAGAGGAATAAAGAAATGAAAAGAAAGTTGGAAAAAGTGGTAATTAAGGTAAGTGGTATCATTTAGTTTCATTTTTATATTATTTTCTTGTTTTTTTATTATTTAAAACCAACAGAATTGTTCTCCAGGTTTGTTGGATCTGCACCGAGTAGGAATCGATACATCATTTACAAACTTTATCTGACCTATAACCAGTACAACACAATTGAGAACATTTTAGTCTTTTCATGAGGGGGTGTTAAAAAACAAACAAAAAAAAAACGGAGTTGATGTTTTTGCACAACTGTGGCTCGAGATGTGGCTGTGTTCAGAATCACCCAATCCCATTCAACCTCATATTTAAACTGGAATCAACACACACACACCTGCCACCGTTTAAAGTGTCACTGATTAACCCTAAATAAAGTTTAGCTGTTCTAGCATGTTTTTTTTTCCCCCAGCAACATTTTTGTATGTATGTGACGACAATCTCCCGCTCTCTTCAAATGTCGGGGCAGGGTGGAACTTTTGCAACTGGGGCCCGAAACCTCGAGACTTCTGCTAGAAAGCAAAATACACGTCAGAAACAGCCTACTAGAACATCAGAAATTTCACAGGGCAAAGAGGGTTTCTCATCTGCACTGTACTGACTGCCATGTAAACATGAGCCCGCACTGAACTCTGTCGGCCAGGTACCGCGCCGACACGCAGACGTACCAGCCCAACAACAAGGACTGGATCAAGGAGAAGATCTACGTGCTTCTGCGACGTCAGGCCCAGCAGGCCGCCAACTGAAGCCGGAAAACGTCTTTCTCTTCTTTTCATAGAACCTAGCGTACGCCGTTTCCCTTTGCTGTTTGTTTCCCACTTGAAGGAAGGCATATTCTCGATTTTAATGTTTGCGTTTCAAATAGACTTCATTTACATTAAGAAAAAAAACCTCAGCAATTTCACATAGGTTTGCTTTGTATGTTGAAATTATGCAAAAAGAAGCCATGACCTATTTTCCTGAAAGAATCTGAAAAGGAATATTGCAGTTTTACAAGAAAAAAAAAACAGTATTGTCTGCGGATTATTTTACAAGAAACAAAAATTCAATTCATGAGAATTAAGTTGGAGTTTCAAGGGAAGGTTTAGTCAATATTTCTTTCCAATATGTTCCATCTAATGAATATTGCGTTTATGAGAGATGAATTAAAAAAAAAAAAATCAGCTACTTTTATCCATTTCTGGGTCGGCCATTTTGCCTGCCACTTGTTGTCCACTGAAACTGACGTTGCAGTTGCTAAGGTAACGAACGTCACGACACCTGTTTTCTGGGTTTGGTCATGTGATGTTTGTAAACTGAGCCCTTCGGCACTGTGATGTCATTTTTCCGTCGACAGAAAGTGGCAGTACAAGTCAAATTGTTGGATTGAAGTTTTACGAAGCCAGCATTGGCTCGTTACCTTGTTGACCCGGCGATGGGTTCGTTTTTCATCCTGGGATACTTTTGACCTAGCAGTTTTAAAGGTGTATGTACATGATCCCACCAAAAAATACTGTAATTGTATTCTGATTTTTTTATTTTTCATGAATAAAGTTGTAATTTACAGAACAAAAGTTGTCATGTAGTTCAAACTAAAGTTGCAATTTTACAAAAACAATTTGGGAATTCTGGCATGGGGGGGGGGACGAATTTTACATGTCAAGATGGGGATTTTGGACAATTTTGATTTTTTTTGGAGAAATACATCAACATCAGACGAATTAAAGTAATTTACAAATTGTAATTTTAGAAGAAACATCTTGGTATTTGAAAACAAAGTGGAATTTGGAGGAACTCCCTCCATGCATTCAGAGAAGAATTCTAATAGGGAAAGAAAATAGTGGTCATTTATGAGAGTCAAGTCATAAACAGTACATAATGTACTGTATCACTACAATGTATAAAAGTTGTAATTTCTTTAACTGTTTTTTTATTTTAATTTTGAGAAAATAAAGTCAAGTCATTGTTGTAAATAAAGTTTTTAAGTGTTGATATTATTATTAAAGTAGTTGTTGAGGAGTGGATGAAGTTGTCAACAAAAGTCAGACTTTTTCAAGCAAAGTATCGAAACGTACGAAAATGGTTTCCCAGTATTTTGTTTTTTTTAAGTCATTGTGGTTATGGACTGGAGCTCAGCGGTAAAGAGCGGGACTCACCTCCAGCGTCATCCGACTTAAGGTGCTCAGGAGGCGGCCGCCCTTCGCCTTGCCACCCGCTGATGTTCACGGAGGATCCGTGTCGTCTTTTTTTCCCCCTCCTTCCTTTCCCTCTGCACCTTTGTGTCGTGCGATCGACTCTTGCCGTCTGCTTTTCACACACACACACACACACACACACACACACACACACACACACACACACCCTCCACGCCCCCCTCCTCCTGCGTTTAGCATCTGAAAGGAGCCCTGAGTGAGAATCGATGGCGCACGGGCTCGCTTGACAGGACAATAAAGCACAAAGAAGGGGTGAGTCTTCTCCTTTTTTTGCCCTTGTTTTCCCTCCCCATCTCCACTCGCTTCTACATCAGAAGACGTCGAGCATGCGTGCGTGCGCGTCTCGCCGCTGCGTGGGGGGGCCGCGACGCTTCCACGCGCCGCATCTTTTGTCAGCATCACTCCCTTTTCTCACAACATCCCATCACCCACCACCCACCCAAGGGGGAAAAAAAAAGCAGAAATTGATGTCAAAAATACAAATTCTGCTTCAAACATCCTCATCATTATAACCGTAAGATGAGGGGTTGTTTGGAAAGTGGGGGGCGTGATGTCCTAATGCGGTTGTCGGTGAGGTAAACAACCACCCCCCGCCCTCCCC